AGCAGCAGCAAAAGAGCTGCAAGAAACTGATGCAGCGAAGGGGAAGCTTCAAACCGCCACTAAAGTGGCTAAAGGCAGTGATCTACAACAGGGGAAGGCACCGATCCAAGCAACAGCAGCAACAACGGAAAACAACAAAGGACAACAATTCGGTAGACAAACAACAGCAAAAGCATATCGAGGAGAAGACCAAAAAGGAGAGGAGCCAGACGAAGGTGAGGAGGGAGACGATCAAACAGGCTATGAAACAGCTGCAGAGAGTGAAGGGGACGAAGGAAGCGAGAGTGACGACGAGTACGAGGATGCATCAGAATGGTGAGGAAGTTCATAAATGCCACAAGTAGAGCACTGTGAGGGAGAAGAAGGAAATGCGCATGAGAGGCATGCCGAGGGTTAAGAGGTGGACGAGAGAAATGCTTTTGAGGGGACTCGCGAGAGAATTCGAAAGCACTGCACAACCATCAGGGTTGTGGGTGCCGAATTTCCTCCAGAGGACCCCGAGGTCGGCAGAGGACAAGGCATCAAGAGCGCATAACAAAAACGAAAGCGACGTTGATCAGAAGGATGATGATGGAGCACCAATGGATGCGGTGGATTGGTGCATAGGCAGTAGGGCGGCAAAAGAGTAAGGGAGACAAAAAGGAGGGAAAGGAAGAAAGGGGATCGGAGAGTCGACAGTGCGAGGCGCAGTCTCCGTAACATTATAGCAAAGAAGACAGGAGTTGTTGCATAGGTGTAAGTGAAGGTAAGGAGGTACCATGCTAGATGGGAACACGTACGCAGGGAAGGAGTTCAGATGTATTTCTCCTCTTAGGAGATGAAGACAAAGAATAAGAGACGGGAAACGGGAGATGGGAAGCAGGTTCCAGGGTACTGCAGGGTAGCGCGTGGCAAGGACATGCTGAGTGTAGACAGGAGGTGGCCGTTTTGCCTCTTCTACTGGCGTTTGCAGTGGGGGACCTTGCCTCTGGGACCTTGCAGGGCAGGAGGTTGCTCAAGGCTCTCAGTCGTTTCAGGAGCCGGCAGTCACGGCAGAAACAAACGGTGCAGGTGTTGCTGCAGAAAAACCGTAGAGTCCCATTAAAAACGTATCAACAAGGGACGGCATCATGGCAGGAATGTTGGGACGGGCTGATGATGTGGATGCGGAGGCAACACCATCAAAGACGGCAAAACAGCAGATGATTGCTGCTATAACGGGTCCCATGAATACGTTGCTGTTCTCATATTTCTTGATGGTTATTAGCTACGCATGCACGTCCCTTCAGGCCTAACAGGTGAAACGTGATGGAGAGGCCTTGACAGTCGGAGAACTCTTGAAGATTGTGGGAAACTCTTCTTTTATCACTATCGCTGTACACAGCTCCGCTTTCGTTTTTCTTTGGGCCATCTCGAACGTGGCAAGGGGCGTAGCAAAGGCTGTAAACTCTCCATAAGCCCTCTACACAGTGCGTCGTATACTGCATCCACCACTCGGCGGCGCCAAGAAACAGAGTGGGCAGCAACTGTTGCGGCAGCCACGGAATATGGTGCGGGAGAAGCACCTGCAGCAGCAGCTCCAACTGCATCATCATCAACAGCAGCCGCAGGCGGTCAATAGTGTAGGTGGCATGCCTCCTGATATTCGCTGCTGAACTGTTTAAATGGGGAGCGAGTCCAAGGCCAACCAGATCGCCATTGCAACGCCAGCTGACTATGAGGGCGAGGCGACACAGCGAGCTATCGTACCTTGCCACCGGTGCAGCTTGCCAGGAGAGAAATGACGAAAATTTTACCTGGCGTTAGTATTGTGCATGCAAAGGTAGAAACTGACACACTGGAAGACGCCTTGTCTTCTTTTGCAACAGAGTGTGTGTCGTTTAGTGAACGCGTTTAGCCGATTATGTATGAAGGACCTTGTGCTACCCTTTTGGGACCGGGAGACGAACCCCTTGGGCACGTCTGGACTAGAAGATCTTCACGAGGCCAGCCCTGGGCACCGTTTATTCTTCAGCTTGTGCTAGCCTGCTACAGCTGCTGCAGAAACAGGAGCAGCTGCTGCAACAGTGCGGGCGTGGGGAACAGAGATTTGATTAGTGTTTTGCAAGCTTTGTAAAAGTGATTGTTAGACGTCGAGAGGCTTAAAGTTAGTTTAGCTACTACAACCCACATCCGTCATGAGTGCAGCATCTCCAAACTCATCTCAACCAGGTGTTTGGCCAGCTGGTTGTTCGCTCGATAACTAGCCGCTCTGGCTTTTTCCAGCTGTTATTTCATCGTTAGATGGCTGGAGACCTAGCTGGTTGGGCTAGCCAGCCAACTAGCTATGTTTTTCTAGCTATCCAGCCAGCTATGTCGAAAGCAAGCCCACGCCATCCAGCTAATTCGACAGCCAGCCCACCAGCCAGCTATGCTGCCAGCCACGGAGCCAGCTGGGTTTGTAGACAGGGGCATGAATTGTGTGAACCCTGGAACGTCGTGCTTGTTGCGGAGTTTACCATCAGGTTCTATTTTTCGCTTTTGATTTGCTTTTCCCCTGTTTTCTTTTCATTTGTTGTTTGTTTTTTTCCTTGTTTGCTCGCTTCTGGGATTCGAACATGTCTAGCGAATTGGCAGGGAGATTCTGCGTCTGGTTCTGCTTCCGTTCTTGTTTCTCCTTCTGTTTCTGCCGGTCTTCGGCGCGCTGCCGCGTACAAGAAAAGGTGAACTGCCTGCAAGTTGTTGTTTTTTGGTTGGTGAGGATTGCCATTCCAATCTTAATCATCGTTTGTTTGTGGAGACGAGCGAAGGAGGGAGGGTCCCGTGCGTAGTGGCGCCTGCTCTTCTCGCGTGGTGCTCTTCTGCTTCTCCCCAGTTCCGTTGCTGCTTCTGCTGCTTCTGTTTCAGTTGCTCCTGCAGCAGCAGCAGCAAGCAGCGCGCTATCTACAGCGCGCTGCCTACATGCGGCGGGTTGTGAGCTCATAAACAGCGGCACCTTCGAGGCACTCGCTAAGGCACTTGTCTCCTCGATGCTACAACACACGCAGCAACAGCACCTGCTCCACAGTAGTAGCAGCAACAGTAGCAGGAGCAGCTGCAACAGCAATGCGAATCCTGGTCGCAACAGGCCCTCGATGCCAAGAAATGATGCCGATGCTGCTGCACATGTGGTGGCTGCTAGAAGCAACTATGGCCAGCAGCGGCAGCAGCAGCCGTACCAGCAGCAACTGTGCAAGCGGATTGGCAGTAGCAAGTTTAACAAGTATGTAGGGTGTGAGGTTTTGAAGGTCCTACAGCAGCGGGAGCACCCTTTTTGCTGCGTTGTATGCACACTCCGCTACAGTAAGCTGGAAGGCTCCTCCGAGTTTGGCTGCTTTGCAGCTGTCATTGCTACTCCTTAGTCACAGCAGCGGCAGTCACAGCAGTAGTAGTTTGACGTGCACCCACTTTGTCAGCTAAAGAAGCGTAATACGCTGGGGACAGGAAGTAGCAGCAGGGGGAACCAGAAGCACAGCAGCAGGAGCAGCCAGAAGAAGCAGCAACAGCAGCACACCCAGCAGGTCTTCCCTTTAGCTCTATGTCTGTCCATGTCCTTTGGGCTAAACCGTAACTCCCATCCCCTGCATCGTACACCTTACTTCTCCTGCAGGCGGCTGTAAAGCTGAAGTCGCTTGGGCAGACGGCTTTGTTGCAGCAGCAGCAAACTCCTTGCATGCATCGCTTGCTTTCTTTGCTTTTCTGCATAGTACACTGGAAACACTAGAGTTTGAGCCCTAAACACCAAACCATCCGACATGATTCACTGTCTCATGCCGATGCCTATCTATGAAAGCAATCCCTGAAGGACGCATCCTTAACTCCCAAGTACGCAATAGTAAGCATAAACCCTAGGTGCAACTTGCCTTTTACGACACACAGCTGCCGATACGCAGGGGCTGCTACAACCCAAGGTACGTCCGTTGTTCGGTAAGGGGCAGAAGAAGCACGAGCTGCTGCAGCACGAACTGCAGCAGCTGGGCCACCCCTTGAAAGCCGCAAGTGTTTAGTGTCCATCAAACAGTGTATCTGCCTCTCTTGCTGCTGCTGATGTTGGAGTGGTTGGGGTTTAGCTCCGGTCTTACAGAAGCCCCCCCCATGCGTTGCTCCTGGTTGGATGCAAGCAGTTGCCGCTTGGCTTCGTTGTCTCAATTGCTGCTGGTTTTGTTCCTGTTTCACCTTCCGTGGGTCTCTGGCGCCCTTCATATCTCCTATTCTGGTTTGCAGCGTCAGCAAGCAGCGTTCATCTGGGGAGCAGCACGAGGAGTGTGCACTGCCGTTGCTGTTGCTTTTTCCTGTGCTGTGTCTAATGCACCATGTAGGGTCTCTTAAAGATGCCCCCAAGAGCCATTTTGGAGAAATCCGGGGCCCTCCAAAGATGCGCCCCTGAGGAAAGTTAGATTGCCACCTGGCTGGCCCCCAACAGACTTCCCAATAAGAGGAAATTGCTCTGCTGCTCTGCTGCTGCAGCGTCATTGTCACATACGTGCCTGTACACCCGAACTGGGAGATAACGCGCCAGCGGTTGAATTCATCGGAGAAGAAAACGTCCTCCAGAAAATTGGATCGATGGAAGGAACAGAAGCAGAAGCAACTGCATCAGCATACCATTCGGGGACCGGGGGATCCTACCGTGGCCATTCATGCAAGGTGACCCCGCAAAAGGCAGAAGAGTAACTGCTTGCTACCTAATTATAATACCCGTTTTTAACTTCGGCATAAACAGGTTCTAAAGAGATTCAGTTTGATAGAATATTTTTACACCGTCGAAGGCAGAGAAGAAAGTGACGGATCCACTCTTCAGGAATTGGCTGCCTCGGCTCCCCCAGTCCTCCGAGACAAGCCGCTGTGGGCCTATTATGCTGCGAACACTGTAATACCTATGATTAATAGCGTGAGCATGGCGAATATTTTTAAAAGCGTGATTATGGCAAATATAGAAAAGAGTGAAACATAAATTAGGCTGGCGAATACGCCTTCAGGCGAAGAACACAAAACCCCAAACTCCCTAATTGCGTTTGCCTGTTTATAGCACTCAACTGTCATCTACTATGTACGTGTATCCTTCCATCAATTGCCATATTCCTTCGGCATCATACACCACAAACTTATAGATACCCAGAACCCCAAGCCCTAAGCCACAAACGCCTAAGCCTCATCTGAATCCTCCAGTGAAACCAGCACAGTGTAACAGAGGAACGACTACTGTAACAAGGGTTGTGGATCTTATGCGCTGGCAGCTGCCACCTTCAGTTGTGCCAAACTAATTGGTATGAGGTTTCATAATAAAAACCCGAGCCTCTCTCACCGATCTGAGCGCAGTGCATCAAGCTACGGGAGAGGCGGTGGCCTGACATGAGTTGCCACGCACCTTGCTGCAACTCAAGGTGCAAGACAGCCCCACATACAAACATAGAAGGTCCTCGTTGGCATGCACGTAGGCTGTACACCATTATTTAATGATTCTGGCTGTGTACCGTTTGTCCACGAGGGACCAAGCACCGGGTCCACCTGCCAACTTCTGGCAAAGTTGTGAGCATCGGAGGAAGTATGCTTCCAACCCCCCAAACCAATCCGAAATTCACTGACGTTTCCACCCATATCAAGTAGTGAAACAGAAGGTTCTGCAAGGGTCTGGGTTGGGAGGTGTTCCGTGGCTTGTTCTGCTGGCATGCACGTTGGATTACGCATTCCTCCGCTGATCACCATATCGTAGGCCACGAAGAGGGCCTGGCCACACGTTCCACTTTTGTAGTGACATCTTTACAATCTAAACCTTTCCAGCGCTTTTTGCTTATATTCCTTGTGCGAAGTGAAACTGGAACGTACAACCAACGACGTCCATGCTTTGTCTGCTGCCACAAGAAACACCTGCTGATGCAGTCGTGCTGTACCCGTTGCGCATGGCTGCGTGTAGAGTCAAGTGTAGCAGCGTGAGTATCTAAGGGGAACCATTTTGAAGAAAACTCGAATCAGTACATACGAGCGGTGCCGGACAACAGACATGCCATCCACTACAGATGCTCTTGAATCTTGCATAAGCATCTACTGGAAACTGCTGGATGCTGGCCGACCATAG